TCCTCCTCCTCTTCCTCCTCCTCCTCCTCCTCCTCTTCCTCCTCTTCTTCCTCCTCCTCTTCCTCTGGCAGCCCTCCCTTCCCAGCCTTTCTGTCATCCTCTGCCACTCTACCCACCCTGCTCCACTGGCCGTTTCCCGTACTGGAAGGCAGGTGCCATAGGGTGGGAGTCTCTGATGGGACGGTACCTGCCTGGCACACAGGGCTCCAGCAGTGAGGGGACAAGTCCTGGCTCTTGTTTACACCTTCCAGTCCCCCCAGTAAGTAGATCCTGTAAGTTCTGTACTCCACACAGACCTGACATGGAGAGGATGCTCAGAAAACCCCATGAAGACCCAGATCTATGAGCATCCTGAAGAACTGATCCTTTTTCCCAGTAAGATCCCAGGGAGGCTTTTTACATGTGTGTTGGTGGGCCTAAAGATTAATAGGCTAATTATGATATCTCTTAGATGCAGTTGAAATCATCTCATGGTTCCTTGTTGTGTTCATTAGCTTAGTCACAGATGCATTTTCTTATATCCTCTGTATCAAGTAGCCCGAGCTGAGAGTCGTATCACTTTGGTCCACACACTCCCAGTTCATGAAGCGTTTTTACTCACACTTTCGTCTGCACGTTGTGAAGATGTGTGTTTGTCATCAGTTAGAGGTTCCTTGGCGTCATCTAACCTAGTTTTCCAGAAAACCTCATCTTCGCTCCCAGCTCAATTATTTGAGATCAGACATAGTTTATTGTCTAAAATAGGTGTATGCTCTTGCTGAAATTTTTTCCCAAAGCATAAGAACTCACCTTCATAACTTACTTACCTCTATCTATCAGTAGCTACCCTCTCAGGCCACGTTGTAAGCCCATTCATTCCTTACATTGTGAGCTCACCGAATCCCGTTTTCCAGATTGACCCTGGTCAGGATCCCTTCCCAGCATTACCCCATAGCAGCATTGACTGAGGCTGTGTCTGTCCACAGAGAATGAGGATGGCCACAGTCTTGGAGTCATGGGGTGGCATTGTATGCTAGGCACTAGACTGCTAACCACAGGGTCAGTGGTCCCAGCTCCACCAGCTGCTCCTCAGAAACCCTACTCAGGGTCGCCATGAGTTGGGACTGACTCGACGGCACTCAATAGTCAACACAAGGCGCCTTTCCACCAGCTACTCGGGCCTTACAGCCGCCCAACCAGACAGGCCCTGCTCTTACCTCCATTTCCAGATGGGAAGACTGAGGCACACTCAGATGAGGTACCTGCCCAAGGCCACTCCATGGGAGCCAGTCCCAGGGAGAAAAGTGGGGGAGATGATGGTCTCTCAACAGATCCACTCCCGTTGTCAGAGACCTCATTTCTTGGGGTTCACGGTCTCCCCTAAGATTTGGATGAACACCTCTTATTTGTTGACCAAAGAGGGAGCTGGTGAAAGGTGGAGAACTGTCTGCTGATGAGGCCTCCAGCATCTACCATGGAAGGCAAGGGCCTGATGCCACCCAGAGCCCCGTTACTACCCATGATGCTGTGTTTTCATCACAAGCAAAGTCTAGTGTGGGGGCTTGAGCAAGGCAAGTGTGGATTCTCTTGTTCACCTGGTCCCCTTGATCCAGGGAGCTCACGGGCCAGTGCCCAGCACACAGCCCAACTCCGGGAGCCCTGGTGGTACAGCGCTTAAGTGCTTGGCTGCTGACCCAAAGCTTGGTGGCTCAAGCAGCAGGCTGCTTCCAGAGTTACTGGGCAGCGCTTCTCCTGTCAACGTGCTCGATGAGTCAGAATCCACTCGACTGCAATAGGTTTGGTTAGGTTTAGGGGCCCAGCTCAGTGTAGCTGAGGACTGGGGAAGGCCCCTCCCTGCCCTCCCCCCACACACACACAGGGTTGTCTCCTATCACCCCCACAGTCCTCTCCCAGTCCCCTTCCAGAGTCAAACAGCCTCCGAATGGAGGATCCACCTTCTATGCCTAGCCTGGGGTGACGATGCAAAACCCATGGCTCAGCCAGGCCCAGCACGCAGCTAATTAGCTTCATTAACCCAGTCCAGAGGGAGCTGTCCCAGTTGGAGGCCAGAGCTCCAGCCCAGCCAAGTTTGAACCCTGGGTCGTCCTCCACCCCTGGCACCTGTCACAGGAAGAGGAAGTTGTGCTGGCAGGATCCAAAACTGCAGAGGCTCCTTTGTGATTTTTTTTCTGCCTGTCTTTTCTCATGTAAATGACTGAATTCCACAAGCTGGCAGAGTCCAAGTCTAGGAAACTTGGCAAATCAGAGCTCTCCAGTGCTGTGGGTCAGAACCTTGGGGAAAGCGGACATCTTTCTGAATGTTTTCTTCATTAATCTTTTGAGCCATTTAGAACATGCGCAGAGTAAAAAATTGAAGTCATCCAAAAAGGTTTGCTGAGAAAAATAAGCCTCTCTTTCTCCCCTGGCCCCCAGCCCCCCAGCTCCC